TTTTATAAAAGTTAGAATTATCCGAGTTATGCACCGAGACGCTTCTTGGCGCTTGTTTTCTTCTGATGGTCCAATTGCCGACAGTATAGGTACGAATTAAGAATTTGACCGTAGGGAAGGAGTTCATAACGCCTGATTTCCTGCTAATTCCATAAAACACGCAGTATAACCTCCCTGGCCGTTTCTGCCGGCTCACTGCCCTTGGACCACGACCGCATTCAATTGCCGTTGCTGCAATTGATCCACCGCTTTTCAAAATACTTCACCCTTAGGGAAAACTCTTTGAGCTCTATGTATCAATCTAAAGAAAATTAGTCCCATTTTTGATGTACTTCTGCTACTCCCCTTTCTTTCTATCTTCTTTCTTACCCACTTCAAGCACTTTTGTGTGTTCTTGAATGTTACCGAGCTTAAAAAATAGTTCCCAGGAACAAGCTAATTGGCTTTTTTCCAAGTATTTCATGTTTGGTAACAAGCTATCCAGCGTACCTTCTATGATATTTAAAAGAAGCGCGAAGCAGGGGCAAAATAAAGAAGAAGGTGGGTCTTTGTGAAAATCAAAACAGCGTCATGAAGGAGCGCTAATATGTTTTTGGATTTGTGGTTGAAGAGTGACTATGTCATCGATTCATGGAATTCACGCCGGTGGATGATCATTTCGGTGCATTCCGCATGTGGAAAGACTGCTTATCTCGTAACGTTGTCACCTACAACAACATGTACAGAATTTAAAGAGGGAAATGAGATGCGTTTGCAGACAGAAAATGAGAAAGGTTGATATGCATAATTATGAGGAGTTTGCGGAGATGACCAACCAGAGAAGTGGTCAAAAATTCTATGAAGAATACGGCGATTGGAAATCTGGTGACTGACATTTAGACTTAGTTTTCGAAGACAGTGAGAGAGAGATATTAAATAATTGGAGGAGGGCTTGATTATATGTTTTCATAGTAATTTCCGGCTTTAAAGTAATGAATGTAAAAGTGGCGGGCACTGATCACCTACTATTTCAGCTATGCAAATATGTAGGCGAAAAACTAATAAAGTTCATTTAGCAGTTTCTATACAAAATATAACCGGATAAAAGCTGAGTGAGCTTTGTCTGCTCCATTATAAGGTGGATCCTCATTGATCGTGGCTCGTGTTTTGTACGAAATACTACCATCGACTAACTGCTCGAGCCTTATCAGTGTCTAATACTGACCGTTGGTGTGGCAACCCCGTTAAATTTGTAAAATCTGGCAGAGCCTCTCCGAGGTGTGCAGCACCAGACGAGGTTTCAGAGCAGGTGACTTTCTTTCGTGTGACTTTTTCCCATGACCTATTGCTGGAGATTTTGTTAATAGCTGCTGGATTGATAGAGAGAGTACAACCTTTTATAAGAGTGTACAACAGTTGGCGTATGCTCATGATTTTTTTGCCGTTAATTCTGCTTTTCCCTAAGTGGATAATATGAATAGGTTAACAGAATATGGATATGAAATGTTAGCTTCCACATCGCTGTTGACAACCATAGCATCAACATCGACAATAATGTTGGACTTGAAATCCTATGAATGTGCCACTTTGTACAGAGTAGGTAATTGAAAAGTAAAGTCCTCCCTCGCCGAACGAAAATCACACTCTACAAGTCGATTGTCATTCACGTTTGGCTGTTTTTGTAGCGTCCAATCTAACCTCATTTCTGAGCGGAGAAGATCATCCTAAGCCATCGAGGTCATCTAACGCGAGGTCAAGGACACCACGGTTCGAACCTGAGCAAAAGGGAGGGTGGATGGTGTTGCCTTTCACAACGTACGTTGAGTATGTCCGGATCAAGTGTAGAGAAGTAGGAATATAATCGACTACAATATCCGCATTTTAATTATGCCAGTATTCATCATTCATGTCTGGCAGTAAGGAACAAAATCATGGACAATGACCAGATCAGAGTAGTTGGCCTTGGGAATCTTCGAGAAAAGAACTTTGCCAGAGATTTATGGTCTTTTGCACATTCTTCTTCTTTTTTGTTGGCATTGGCACCGCTTACGCGATTATAGCCGAATCAATCTTTAAGCGCCATTCCTCTCTTCTTTTCGCTGCCTGGCGCCAGTTGGAAATACCAAGTTAAGCCAGGTCATATTCCAACTGATCCTTCCAACGGAGTGAAGGCCTTCCTGTTTTTCTGCTTTCACCAGAAGGTACTGCATCGAATACTTTCAAAGCTGGAGTACTTTCAACCATTCGGATGACAGGACTGGTATGTTGAGCGACTTGCAGAGTTTGGTTTTCGTTCGTTGAGAGAGGATTTCACTTTTCAATTACCTACTAGTCCAAAGTAGCACCTGGTGGCAATTCTGCGATGAATTACAAGGCTGACGTTTTTATTGGTGTTGATGCTGGTTCCTAGATATACGAAATTATCTACGACCTCGAAGTTATGAATGCCAATAGTGCCGTGAGAGACGAGTCGTGAGGTCGATGGCTGTTTTTTTGATAACGAAAGAAATATCGTCTTGTCCTCGTCCACTGCCAAACCCATTCGCTTCGCTTCCTTATCAAGTCTAGAGAAAGCAGAACTCACGGCGCGGTTGTTGAGGCCAATAATGTCGATATCATCGGCGTACTCTAGCAGCTGTACACTCATTGGTATCGCACAGCTCGGAGAGGTCCTTCCCGATACTGAGGGAAGTTTTGGTGTTGCTTATAGTCAGTTTACACAGCCGTATAAGTTTTGCGGGGATACCAAATTCAGACATACCGGCATAGAGGCAGGTTACTTTTCACGCTTTCAAGGGTCTTTTCCAAGATTTGTCGCATGGTGAATATCTGGTCAATGGTTGACTTACCAGGTCTGAAGCCACACTATAAGTTCCAATCATTTTATCGTCGTTGGGCTTTAGTATTTCACACAATACGCTCGACAGGGCCTTATAGGCGATATTAAGGATGCTTATCCTACGGTACGGTGGGGTCCCATTTTTTATGGATTGGGCAGAGCACCCTTAAATTCCAATGATCAGGCATGCTTTCATTCAACCATATTTTGCAAAGAAGGTGATGCATGCGCCTGATCAGTTCCTCACTGCCTTATTTGAATTGTTCAGCCATTAATCCATCCGTCCCCGCTGCTTGGTTGATTTTAAGCGGGCGATTGCTGTTCGGACTACTTCATAGTCGGGTAATGGAACAACTTTTCCATTGCCATCAATTGAGGTTTCGGGTTCATCTTCTCCGGGAGTTTTAATTTCAATATCATTCAGCAGGCTGAAGGAGTTTTCCCTCCAAAGATTCAGTATACTCTGGGCATCCGTCATTAACTCACCCCTCTGGGTCTTATTCATTGAAAGAGGGAAATTTCTACTTTCTTTGGGAGGATAAGATTGGAAAGGACAAGGTTTCTATTAGTGTTTCCAAATAGCTTTGAACGGCTAAAAGAAGAAAAGATCTGTCATGCTATTAACTCGGATATAATCGTGTAATCGGTGCCGACATCAAATAAGAAGAAGCAGCAACTTTTTAACAGAAAAATGCTATGTACAGAGCTTTATTTGAAATGCTGGTTTTCAATCCATACCCACTACGATTTACTGTTTTGATGAATATTTTTAAATTAAAAAGTAAAATTTTTTTGGGATCACCATGAGATTAGAAATGTGATTAGATTTAATTTTGGAGAGAATTAAAAGAAATATTTATGTTTCACTATTATAAAAAGGTGTAAAAAATCTGAAAGAACTGTACCATGACGCATATGCATATATACTTTTATATGTATGCGTTTATCTAAAAATAAAAGACATCATCTAAAGGTAATTCATCATTTTACCTCGTCCTCTTTCTTAGCTGTCGTAAATTTAAAGCATAAAATTCCTTATCAACACTACGTACGCGTTCACTTTTGTTTGTTTGTTCCTAATCAAATACATTTCAACTTTTTACTATGCTTACAAAAATTAACTGTAAACGTCACTAATTGATTGTTGTTGCTCGTTATGTCTTTAAGTTTGCACATTTCACCACACAATGAGCTCACTGTATGTAAATATGTGGAGTATTAACAGACATACATATGTACATGCATATCAACACTAGTAAATATACACGTAGAATAAATATAAATAAATAAAATTTGTCTTATCACTTCAACGCCTTTCACTCAGCACCACAACTTTGGCTTTAGCATTTTGCTTACACCCGACACAAACTCTTCGCTGTCTTCACATTCCTGCGCTGTCCGACAGATGCCTTGTATTTGATGTTGATCCTGATGTTGTTGTTGTTGTTATTGTTGCTTTGTTTATTAAATCTCAGTGCTACATTCTTTGCTACATATCTTTGTAGTTACTGATAATAAACATACATATGTACATATTTATTTGCATATGCATTTGTACTGTTGTTGCTGTTGCTATTACGCTTATGCCTCCTTCTTCGACTAGTACTGGCAGTTCGTCTTATTCTGTACGGTTTAAACGTTGTTTGTCCATCCAAAAGTCATTAACATTAAGAGATCACATTCAGTTCTTCAATATCTAACGTTGGAAATGGTCACTCCGTAGAGAAGGTTTCTTTAACAAAAATTAAAAAAAAAAAATAAAATAAAAATAAAATTTGTAAAATAAAGAGCTGTAAATTTAATTTCCGTTTGAGCAGGCAAATAAAATAAATAATTTTAGTTTTGTTGTGAAAGCTGTGTGAAGTTGTAGAAATTCGAAATTGAGAAAGAAAAATTTTGGCACATTTTTTTGTCATAATAATAAAGAAAGAAAATATAAAATTGAAAAAAAAACCATTTCGAAAAAAAATTTTTTTTTTTCAAAAGTATTAAGCAAAAAGTTTGTTAATATAATAAAACATTATACAAATATATAGGGCGCCGGGAATTTTTGAAATTCTTCTACAAAAAACTCCATTATAGTGTCTGTGCATGGTGAATTTATTAAAGAAATATTCTAAATAAAACTACTTCGAATTCTTTCTTTCAAATTTATAAAACCGAAAAACTTTCAAAAAAAAAAAAAAAAAAAAAATATGAAAAAAAAATACTAAAAGAAAAGCATAAATCAGAATGTCGAAGAAAGAGGATACACCGTTTGTCATGTAAGTGAATGTGTGCTCATATAAGAGAATTTTACGATATATAACTGTATTGTCCAAGGTGAATTTATAGAAGGTGAAGTTGTCACATCGAATGATTGCTTATTCTTCAACAAATCGACACAAACAAAATACATTGAACGATTTTCGTTTTTGACTTTTCGAAACTATGATTACACAAACAAAATGCATGGGATTTTTGTTTTTGTATTCTTGGTATTGTTTGTGAAATGATAAATTATTAAGATAAAAATTTATTGCTATAATTTGAATAAAAATGTCTTCCCCCGACCGAGATCTACATATTTTTATTGTTTTTTTTTTTTTAATATTTCTTTTTATAATTTAATCTTTTAATTTAAGAGATCTACATTTTTATTGTTTTTTTTTTTTTAATTCATTTTTAATATAATTTAATTTCTTTATTATCACTTTACATCTACATATAAGTAAATGTCGCAAAATCGACTAAAATTCTACTGGAATTAAAGTTTTGATTTTCTACATTCTTCTTCTTCTTGTTTGGCGTAGGCACCGCTTAGACGATTACAGCCGGGTCGCACATATACTCGTTCCTTCTTTTAGTCGTTCTGAGTCAATTTAAGATACCAAATGAATCTAAATACTTCTCCATCTGATATTTACAGCGTGTGGCTGTCGTTCTCTGCATGAGGCCGGCCTTATAGCTATCTGACATTAAACGTGTTTCGGCTTTTTTGTGCTACCCTCTTCCTTTAAAAAATCTACCATTTTCAAATTAAAATTCTTTTTGGAAAATTTTATTTTTTTTTTTATGTTTAAACGTTTAAAAATCTCGTTTTTTTCCGACTCCTAATAGCGGACTTCATCGCGTGTTATTGTTGTATTAAAACTTAAGTCAATTGTAAGTAAGTATCAGAAAGAGAAGAGACTCGCCCTGCAAAATTTAATTCGAACTCAAGAAGATGACAAGCTGACTGGAATTGCTATATCTACGTCTTACAGTGTTTGCGGCCACGCAACTCTGATCTCGTGGTGAGACTTATGTTGGTTCTGTGAAGAAGATTCCTCTCACCTTTTCACATGTTTTAACCAATTGGTGTCTTTTAATGAAGTTCAGGAGATTAATGATGCCCAGAGATGCAGTCTCTACTAAGCAATCCAAGATGAAATTTCCGTGAAATCGATAACGGACTCTACAGAGAGCTGAACAGTAGCAGAAAAGTTGTTTAAGAAACAGTCCACCCTTCTACATGTAGTAACAGTGTCCTGTTACTATCCCGGTTGTTATGCTTATGGAAGTCCTGTTTAATAGGTGCAAATACTTAGTTCTGTTTACTTCATTCAATTGTGCGATGTCTCACTCTGTCATCTGCTGTTGGCCCTTCTGGTGAAGGTTAGTCTTGTCATATACTAGCCCAGGAAAGAAGTATGCCTACATCATGTGCTGAGTTTACCGGGACTAACAGGTAGCCAAACCGCGGACGTTTCGCATTAGTTTCAAAAAAAAGTAAAAAAGGACAACAGCTTCCATTTTATTTGTAATAAAAAGCAACTAACAAATTCTTTTCTTACTTCTGCCGCCTAAGAAGAACGGCTTGTATACAATATTATTAACATCTGCTTATAAGATAACCCCAAAAATTATTAAAAAACCTCCAAGCTTAATATTTTATAAGTGTCAAGACCAAACATTTCCGAGCAAATTCGTTTAGCGTCAAAAATTCCGAAGTGAAAATACCCTATAGATTTTTGTATCATGGTTCTTTGCTTCCATCAATGGGTACTATGTCCAACCTTTCGAAGCTGGAGTGTTGTTGCCCAAACGAAAGATATGAACCAACCGATATCGACGCTGTCACTTTATTCACTGAAATATGTCGTATGGTCTGTGGTAATGACCTAGTGCCAACTCATCAGTTGTAGTCATCATTCACACTTCTGTATTTCTATTTAGCCGAACGGGTATGGTGCGTGACTTGTAGAGTTTTTTTTTCGTTGAGAGAGAACTTTACTGTTTAGCTCTCTAACCAGTGCAAAAGAAGTACCGGTTACCAAGACTGATTCTTTATCATTATTGGTCGTATTGATGCTGGTTTCAAAATATACGGAATTATCTACGACTTCGTATTAATGAATGACATCAGTGAGCAAAGACGCGAATAAGTTGATTGTATGTTTGATGAGAGGAGCGATTTCGTCTTGCTCTTCGTTAACTATCTGACTGTTTTTAACTCGCTTCCTTGCCGAGTCTGGTGAAAGTTTTTTAAGCCTTACGCCATTGAATGTTAAATATTAAATAAATTATTAATTAATAAATAATAATCCTTTACTTAAATACTCAAATCTGGGTTTCAATGTAGTACCAACGTGGCGGTTAACGTATCCCAATGTTACACCCTTTATGTTACTGTGTTTACTAAAATCACTACACATAGCAGTTAGTTATCATTCAAAACCACAAAGTATAAATATCAAACAGATAGGAAAACTCAGAAAAAGAAACTAACTTGAAATTAAACGATATACAATATGTACATATGCAGTTATATACCGCTGTAATCTTAATACTCTTGAGGCGATAAGAGAATCTCTAATGTTCTCTAAACAAAGTATAGCTTAATGAACTACGAGTATATCAAGGTAACAAGTTGAAACAGAGTGGAACTGCAAAGTTAGTTATGTACAGTAAGTAATTCATAAAAATAAATATTAATTTAGTTTTTTGGACTGAATTTTTTCATTACAAGTAAAAATTATGAATTAAATGCAATTCAATTAGTATATTAAAGAAAAATGTACAAAAAATATAGTTTTAAGGTCCATGATATTTATTTCCTTCCTTGTTACCTTTTTTAATTTTGGCGCATCAGTCAACTTGTTACAGTTTCAAAATGGAATATGCAGTTTCCGCCCCAGTTCAGTCCAGTCATTCCAAAAACTTATATAGATTTTTCCATCTATTTCGTGAGTTCTGACGAACCCTAAAAACACACTTTTGTGACGGACCGTAAGCTGACGCATTTTGCTCTCCCACACAACTTAACTTTACCTTTGCGAACATTTTTCACTTTTTGATGAACTCACCATACGTACTCACCTCCGTAGGTTTTAAGCTGAGGCACTATGAAAGAAGTGACGTCTCAATCGTCTGAAGGCCGCTCATTCACAAAGTTAATGTTTCAGTGTTTCTTCATTTTCTGAGCATACTCTGTCCTCAGCTGATTCTACTTTCCATAGCTTGTGTAGATGATATCTCAGAGGTGGGTACCCCGTGTATACACCCATAATAATGCTAAGTTCTCGTTTTCTTAAGTTTAGTAACAGTTTGGACTGCCTACAGTTCAGACTGCTCCACATAATTTTGTGGTACGTTTTACAGTGGAAATGTTCTAGAACCTTAGGTATTCCTACATAGTCCATTGCTTTCGACAACAATGAAGGCAATCAAAGCTCCGCCTTCGTTTTTTCCTTGCTATTCACTATGTTCTGCGATGGTCTGTTAACTGCTTAAGTGCCGCTGAGTTGTCTATAGTATAAATATGGACATCTTGGCTGTTTCCGATGGGCGCGCCTTCCACCCATTCCTTCATGTAAGGAAGGCGTATGTTGCATCTACTTGGCAAAAAGTTTCAGTTTCTTGGTAGCATTTAGTCTGAATTCCGATATAATTTTGTGCCATGCCTTTTACAACTTGGCCACTAATCCCAATTGTGTAAAACACTAAAGCGGCTAACTGTTAGCGCTGCTTCATACATCAATTTATCTTAATAGGCCTATTCTCATGAATGACTTCGAGGGTCTATGCTGCGGTAGGTTTTATGGTGCCTTATATATCAAGCAGACAGACATGTTTCACCTGTTAGTGTCGCCCACTACACCAGTGGTCCATATGGGTATGGGCCTAACGACACTTGTGTAAAGCCAGTGCAACATGTGTCACAATAGTTCTTCTGAAAGTATTCCAGATCTGGGGCAATTTACTAGTCCTGCTTTTGACATGCTCCCACTACCATAGTTTTTTTTTTATTAAGGTCCACACAAAAATACTTCACAAAGTTGAAGGTAATAATCATACTACCTCTTAGAGCTGATGCGTTGAATTGAAGAACTTTGCTCGTGCTCAGATTTTTTCCGGGTTCACTAGGAGTCCTTGTCTCTCAGCCCATTCAGCTCTCTGGAAGCTTAGAAGAAAAACGAAAATTTCTTTCGAAAATACTTCTAGTCCGGACATACCTTTGTATCCTCGGCTACTTCTCCTTTTGCCACTCATGACTTTAGCCGCGTGTTGTTTGTGGAATAAAGAATTGATACTTTGGTAACACTGAAAGTACACTTGAATAACTTCTTCTCTTTAGGGCCGATTTTTTTCGAAAAATGGTCCGATTTGCTTGAATATAGTATTTTGAAGATTTGTCTAGACAATCTAGTCAATGAAGCAAGTTTTGGAAGAGCTCCTCCTCCAATTTGTTGTTTAGCGTCTTGATGTTTTTCCATCGAATGGATGGAGTTAGGGCTAATTTATACTAAGCCGTCTTCGAACGGCTGGTGGCTTCTTTATGAGGAGCCTTTATTTCATGCCATAAATACACTCGGAGGGCTTAGTATTCTTTGAAAAAGTTAACGTGATAGGTAACACTGGTCAACACAAGTCTTGGTCCCTTTATTTTCTTTTTTGTTATTAGGTATTTCTATGGCATTGCCTAGGAGGGTTTGCTAAGAGCGATTTAACAACCTTCCTTCCGTCTTTTCGCTGTTTGGCGTAAATTGAACATACCCAGTGCAGCCAAATATTTCTCCACCTGATCTTTCTCTCATCGGGAAAGTCTTCTCTTGCCTCTGTTTCCACGAGCAGATATCGCATAGAAAAAAGCTATAGTCAGAGATATTGACATTGGTATTTGTACGGGACTTTAATTTTCAATTGGCTACTTAGCTCAAGGAAGCACGTCTTCCAAAAGTAATTCTACGTCGGACTATCAGCCCCACACTTTTCTTGGTGTTAATATTGGTTCCAGGATAAG